AGAGTTTCTATAACAGTGTTTCAGTTTCTGTTATGGCCTAGAATGTTCTCGTCTGAGAATAAACAGTGGATCATACTTTCATTATTGCACTTTCCACCTTTTACAATAGTCTGTATAACAGTTGATGGAGGGAAAAGAAAGAGGAGCCAAACAGCCCCTCGCCTTCCCAAGAAAAAGTTGGTTTCTCCTAATCTTTCTTTTGGTGGCTTTAATCACCTTAAAAGTTTTTATTCCTCTTAGAGTTACTGGTTCCACACACACATCCTGTGAGTAAATATAAATGCTTCCTTCGTGGGAAAGCAAAAGCAAGAGAAGCCTTATTTAGGAAGTCTGTTTTTAAAAGGAATATAAAGGCTGAGGACATAGTAAGTAAGGCATCCAGCTTTCTGAAACAATGCAGACAGCGGAAGGGATGGGAAGTTGACTTCAAATGGCTTAAAGGGATCAGGGCTTTAAAGGTGGGTGAGGAGTTGGATGCTTGGGGTTAGGCCTGGCATTGCTTTTAAAAGATTATAACAATATTTGACAATGATTCTAAATGGAGTTTATAAAGCAAATAGTCAGTTTTGAGACACTATGGAAAACAAAGGATGTCTTTTGTTGTTGTTATTTGTTTACACAAAGTGATTGGCTAGAGTTAATAAGCCAAGTCCTGAAGCCAGGATTTCATCGAGCTACTGAGATCTGTCACAGAGGAGAATCCAGGAGAGGTTGTTTAATGCACTTCATTGAGATTATCTGAGCTTTTGCTTTAAATTACTTTAGGAAAGTCTGGCTGCAAACAGCTTCTTTGAAAGGTAAACACACTTCTGCTTCCCGATTCTATACACAGTTAATGAATGGCACGAGCCTTGCTGCCTGAGTGGCGGGTAGTGTACAAGGATAAAAGCTTTAGACATCAGTGCAGGTGCTAATGTGATTGTGAGAGTATGCTATACGATTATATGGAAATGTCACAAATGATTAGAACAGCAGCCACTGACAATTTCAGCAATTCTGAAATAAAAACTAATGAATATGGTTTTGATTGTGAAGTACACTAGTTATATTCTTCAAATGAATTTCCTTATTTTACTGTACAAAGAAAGTCACGTGGAAATGAACCAAGAGTAGCATATTCTTGGTTTATATGTGAGTCAATGTCCAAAAGCTGACATGATGTTTTCATCCTCTTCCTCAGCTCCTTGACTTGTTTATGGTTTGGGACTGGTCCACTTACCTAGCTGACTACGGACAGCCAGCTTCAAAGTACCTTCGTGTGAATCCACACACGGCCCTTACTCTTTTGGAGAAGTGAGTATGTTCTCAAAAATAGTTTGGGTTTTTATTTTAGGTAGCATTTTACACAAGGTTTGATTCAGTAATGAAGAACTACAAATTTCTCTGAAAAGAGAAATGTCTAGATGGAGTTTTAAAAGTCAGTACAGCCAGATGTGATGGCATGTGCCAGCCCTGAAGCAGGGGGATCATGAGTTTGAGGGAGCTGAGGCTATAGTGAGTGAAAGGTAGGAGGAAGGAGAGAGATGCAGTCTGTTTTGTTGAACAAAAGATAAGTCTCTTTCTTGCCTTTCAGAATTATCTTGATTATATATGTGAGGAAAAACATTTTTTTTCCTAATGCATCTTGAAAATCTCAGGCTCAATCTGCTTTATAACTATGTTACTGGAAGCCTGGAAGGCACAGCACAGTTGTTGAGGGCCCTGAGTCCACCCCCCAGCTGGAGAGAGAGAACAGTGTTTACTTGCAGATCCAAGGATTGGAGCTCCTTAAAAACAAAACAAAAGAGGGCCCAGAAATGGGATGCTGGCCTCGGGAGTCGCTAAGTCCTGGATTCTTTGCAGGTAGAGAAATCCATGAGTTGAGAAACGATGTTGTAAAAAGCGAGACAGTGGGGTTTGCTGGCCCAGCGATCCCCAGTGCTCCTTTTCCCTCATTATGTGGCAAACTTCTTCACTCAGTCATCGTTTGTTTGTGTCAAGTGTAGCATTAAAATGTACAGTTTTATGTAATTAGTATATGTAATTTTCCCAAATTTCAAAATATTTGTGGTTATTTGATTTGAAAGGATGTAAGAAACTCTTCACAATTTATATAAATTGATTTTATAATGTCATGAAATACTCCTGAGGCAAACCCAGTGCATTTTGAAATGTTCCAGTGCCGTTTCCACTTTCACGTGGTCTTGCTGTGAATGTACTAGTGCCCATGGAGGGTATTCTAATAAACCTTCTGGCTTGATATTGACAACAACATGGTATTTGGAAGCTGGTGTCTTAGATATGTGTGCTAGTGCCAGACCTTCACGCTCTCACTCTCGCCACGTGGGCTCCAGACCCGCACATTTGATAGCACCGATTTTCATTTCAAGCACCGAGTTGGTGTTGGATAAGTCAGAACATGTTAAGAAAGAAGGAACTCCTCGGCAGCAGCCTTCCTTTTTCAGCATTTACGTTTGTATGTCTTTGTAGGATGAAGGACACCAGCAAGAAGAATAATATATTTGCCCAGTTCCGGAAGAACGACCGAGACAGGCAGAAGCTGATCGAGACGGTCGTGAAGCAGCTCAGAGGCTTGGTGACGGGTATGTCCCAGCACATGTAGCCACCTGAGTCCACGGCCGAGTGCTTCTCCGCGGCCAGCACTGGTCATGAGACAGCTTGTTTACAGAAGTCAAAAAACACAGTAGAGGAAAGACACTGATGAGGACTTAACAAGTCATGGTAACAAACATCATTTGTATGGATTTTTAAATAATTGAATACTATTTTATATATAAAAATGTAAGATTAATTTTTTCAATTTTAAAGGAAAAGTCAAAGTGTAATATATAAATCCAATAAATTGTATATGAAACTGATTGTAAATATTAGAAAACCTTGTGTCTCTGCTTGTAAGTATTCTTTTTAAGCTTGAAAGAGCTTCTCTTATGTCATTATAGTTTGGGAGGCAGGTGCTGCTGAGAAGGGACGATTTGACTGTCATTGTTGGACTTTTAGCTTTTATTTTCACCTCAGTTTAACTCATGTGCCTAAATGTTTAGTTCTGCCCATTCTGAGGAGGAAACATACAAATCTTGAAAGTTCCCGAACTCAGGAATGTCAGTGGCTTGTTCTCTTTGGCCAGCTTAATCATTCTGAACAGGAAGAGTTTTGGATTATGAAGGGTTTGAATTTCCTAAAGATGTAGTATTTCTTGTGGCTGGCCCCAGTTTTAACGTTTTGGTTTGGTTTAAGTTAGAATGAAGGCAGTTTAAAGGGGCTGTTTGCCTCAGGTGTAGCTGTTCTAGTGTGGACGTGTTCTTCCTACAACGGGGTTCAGGTGAATGCTCTTCTGACAGGAGATCTCAGTGCTGTGTGCTGTGGACACAAACCAGGTCAACTGAACTCTGAAACCCTGCAGCAAATGTACAGTGTCCTTCGGCTAAATCACAGTGACACAGCTGGCCATGTAACCCTGACCTTTGTTTACTCCCCATTGTAATTATGCTGAAATATCCCCTTTGCATTTTCTGGATTTTCGCTTGTAGACTACCTGACTCTGTAAAATAAGTCTGAAGAGCTATGCTTACATGTCTGGACTTTGTGATAAAACATTAAAAAGGTTGAGAGTTGTTGAGTCTATTTCAGCTATTCAGAGCTTCTCACTTACACAGCCTCCTCCAGAAAAGGCCTATTATTCCCTGATTATCAGAATGGGCGTGACACAAAACAAAACATATTTGTTCTCTTGACAAAATACTCAGAGTATTTAACATTTTTAAATTATTACAGAAAAATAGGATAATTCTTCAGACACAATGTGTTCTATACTTTAGTTAGGCATGGTGAGCAGGGAGCTCTGAAGATGTTGGAACGTGATTGCCCTTCACTTTCTGGGTACTTGGGAAAGACTCCTGGCTTTGGCCCAGGCATCTGGGGATTTGTAAAGAGGAACTTCCATATCCCTTGGGAGCAAAGCTCAAGGAGCAAGCTGTCAGCCCGGGGGAGGGGGCGGGATCTGGCAGACTCCGGAGATGGGCAGTGCAATTGAAAAGAAACTAGAATTTGGTTTGGTCCTGAGACCAGAGCTGTGCCAGGATAAACGGCTTCTGGAGGACTTGGGGCGCCCCTGTGAGTTTTAGGGGCAGTGAAATTACCATCTCCTGAAGGCTCCCTGAAATGGCTGAGTGAAGAACTTGGGGCCAGCAGAGGGTCAGAGGACTGAGCCCTAGCCTATCCCTCTGGAATGCTGGCGTCACCGCCCGCTTTCCCTGAAAGAGACCAAGCAAAGGGAAGCAACTCCAGGGTTCCTGAGGCTTGAGGGTTGGGGGCCAGAGAGGAAGCTAATGGCTTGGGACAAGTGGGTCAGGAGCATGGCCCGGCTTGCAGAGTGTCTACTTCTTGTGGGCTTCTCACGCTGCCTGTGCTCATGCTCGCACCAGGAGCGTGGAAGTCACAGTGCAAAACTGCGGGCCCGCCCGAGGATGCGCATGGGGCACAGCCCCCGCCCAGATGCCACTCCCTATTTGGATCGCGAGATGAGCCCGCCACTGCCCACTGCTTCCAATCATTACTCTGCGTGGGGTCCTTTAAATATGCGTAGACACGTCACATTGTTTGACCCAGGACCAGTCCCTAGGGAGGGAGGCAGTATCTATATAAACGTGTGGAGGGTAGGCGGAGAAGGGTTAACCAAGTGGAGGAGAGAAGGTGGTGGGCAGGGGTCTGCAACCCCGGGAATCCTAACAGTGGTTGGCAGCGCGGTGAGTTTTCAGTCTTGCTGGCAGCTTCTACACTAGGAGCGCTGACCTGAGAATGGAGGGGCATTCCGGAGGCAAACCATGAAGGGGCTGGCACTTTTTGACTGAACCGGGGCAAATGTCCTGGGCCTCCAGCCTTGAGGAAAGCGAATTCTCTTAAGTGCTCAGGGTCACTGCCGCCTTCCACTGACAGTCTTGTTTTAAGAGCGGAAGTCTTGGCTGAATTTATTAATCTGCAGCTTGGTCCCTAACCCTGGGACGTTTCTGGACTGGATAGGTGAGCTCTGCATAGTTCTTGAGCCCTCTGCCTTCCCAACAGCCTAGCCCTCCCCTAATCCCCCACCCCCGCAGGCTCGCCATGCTTTCTTGGGGGTTGAGCTGTTTGTCCATGCTGGGGGCTGCGGGCACCGCTCTCCTGTGTGCCGGTCTGCTGCTTGGCCTGGCCCAACACCTCTGGACCCTCCGCTGGACTCTGAGCCGGGATCGGGCCTCTGCCTTGCCCCTACCCAAGGGCTCCATGGGCTGGCCATTCTTCGGTGAAACGCTGCACTGGTTGGTTCAGGTGAGTAGTTTTATCATTCAGCAATGCCTCCTTTTCTGCATCTCTCTCTCATCGGACACTCTTGTTTCTCAGCGCTCTTCATAAGCATTCCCTTGCCCGGGATTCTAGGGATTACTGAAACCCTCGCTATTGTCTGGCTACGCTAAGAGACCCCCGTGTCACCGAAGTTATAAGCACATTTTAAACCCTTCTGATAAAACGTAGGTGTAAACTAGGGGCTCGAGGTGGGGGGATTTGAGGAACGTGGTACCTACCGTCTTGCAAGCACAAACTGAAAAGCCGAGCTACATCTCAGCCATGTACCCTTGGGCACTCGCGTTCCCAATCTAAGCCTCTCTCTCACTTTACCAGTGGGCGTCTACATTCCCATAGAGTACCTGAGAGGCCCGTTTGGAACCTTGTTTTGTAACTAATGTGACAGCCGGGGACAGGGGAGTTGTTAGGAAGAGGTAGTTGGGATGCCTGGGACAGATCTTCAGCCTTGCTGGCCCAGAGGCCCTTCGAGCTCCGACTTGCTTGCAGGGCTCTCGTTTCCACAGTTCACGCCGGGAGCGCTACGGAACCGTATTTAAGACGCATCTTCTCGGCAAGCCAGTGATCCGCGTGAGCGGCGCCGAGAACGTGCGCACCATCTTGCTGGGAGAGCACCGCCTGGTGCGTAGCCAGTGGCCGCAGAGCGCGCACATTCTGCTAGGTTCGCATACACTCCTCGGCGCGGTAGGCGAGCCCCATCGGCAGCGGCGTAAGGTGAGGGGAAAACCAAAGGAACTTAAGATCCATGGTGCCTGGGTTCCTGCGGTGAGCCAGGCCAGAGCCTGGTGTTCGGTATATTCAGAACTTGACCAGGGTCCTCGCTAAAGGAACTGGCGGCCCGAGGCAAGTCTCAGTTACATTTCCAGGTTTTGGATTGTAAAGCCAGAGCAGGGCTACAAGTCCTTTATTCCAGATCTTCTGTGACAGGTGTTAGCAGCTTTGGGGATTCAGATTTAAGAGGGTTCGGGGGAAGACTGTGGAGCAGCTAACATTTGGAGCCTAGATGGATGGGAGGAACTCCACACATCAAAGAGGAGGGAACCAAGCCAGCAAGTTTAGGCCTGTGCGGCTCAGAAGAGGAAGAAGGGACTGGTCTTTGCCTTTAGGCTGCGGAGTCGCTAGGCACAAGAGGCCAGCCTGCCCCGCGCTCATCTGCGCTTCCTGCAGGTTCTGGCGCGCGTGTTCAGTCGCCCGGCTCTGGAGCAATTCGTGCCGCGACTGCAGGGGGCGCTGCGGCGAGAGGTGCGCTCCTGGTGCGCCGCCCGGGGACCAGTGGCTGTCTACGGGGCAGCCAAAGCGCTCACCTTTCGCATGGCCGCGCGCATTCTTCTGGGTCTGCAGCTGGACGAAGCGCGATGCACCGAGCTAGCCCAGACCTTTGAGCAGTTGGTGGAGAACCTCTTCTCACTGCCCTTGGATGTGCCCTTCAGCGGCCTGCGCAAGGTAATGCTGCCCCAAACCTTAGCCCATAGCTCCAGGGGGTCTCCCAAATCAGACAGGTTACGCTGGACCGAGAGTGTGGCCCAGCATACGGTGGGGTGCTGGTTGGTGGAGACCAGGGCTGCATCTTTTCGGACTCTGTGACACGGGGTAGGCCACACGCGGTCTATGGGATGCTTCTGACTCACGCTCTCGCTCCAGTGTAGCCTTCTTGAGTTTGGGTCTTAGTGGCAGGCATCTCGGCAGTCGGTTTGTCCTTCCTCAAAGCCTCAAAGTGGCGCGGAGTCTCCAACACCCTTTGGAAGGTTGGTGCTGCGGAACGCTCCGGGAGCAGACGAATCTAGTCTAGGATGTAGTGTAGAAGGGTGTGGGCTCCCGCCGCCACCTGGGGCCCGCTGGTTTCCGGATCAGAGAAGCGAGGCCTTTTCCGAGTGTTGGGCGGGGCCCTAGAGCTAAAGGAATCTTAGTCCTGCCTTCTCTCTCCCTCTGCCCTAGAGCGTTCAGTCGCTTGAATAAAAATAATAATCTGAAAAAGAATCTTGTTGTGTGCTGGTCACCTTGCATACATTTTTATGGTTTAGTCCTTGCAACCTGCAAAGTATTATTCTCATTTATTGACAAGCAGGCCTCCTTGAAGTTGTGAGACAAACAAGAACGCAGTCAAGATGTGAACAAGATACTCCTGGCTACAAGACTCAAGTGCTCGCTTTCAACGCTTCCGCAGTGGCATTTTGTTTTTTGTTTTGGCTGGGCTTGCTTCCTGAACTCTGGAGAGCCATCCCTGCCCCCTTGGCCCAAACCCCTAACAGAAGTTAACGTTTAGAACATACAATAGTGTCCTCAGTGGAGTTTCCCAGGTGCCCCTTTTTCTTATCACTGATGCCCACTGCCTTACCTGAGTTTAAGGAAAGGGTAATAATGGCTAAATGCACCTTAATGGTTCTGTGCCAGGTATGGGCACTGGCCGCTGTATGAGGCAACAAATGTTTGACTCCTCAGTGCTTTGTGTTCTGACCTCTGGGTGACATTAACTGCCTGGCCCGAGGAGGCTGGTGATGATTATCAAGACGGAGTAATGTCTGTAGACGGTGGGCAAATCTATGACCACTTACTGAGCCGTGCCTACCACAGGCTAGGTGTGTCGCTAAGCCGAGACTAACGCCAGGATCTAGGTGAATCTAGGTAGCCAAGCCTGACCCTTGACCCTTCCCACCCCATCCGCCCTCTCTCCCTGTATGTACATCAGGGCATCCGGGCCAGGGACCAGTTGTATCAGCACCTGGATGAGGCCATTGCTGGGAAGCTTCATGAGGAACAGGCAGCAGAGCCAGGTGATGCGCTGCACCTGATTATCAACAGCTCTAGGGAGCTGGGCCATGAGCTCTCTGTGCAGGAGCTGAAGGTAGGTGATGGGAGACCACCCCTCCCCCACCCCCTCCCCCAGAGATCCCTCTAAGCTCCCAGTCATGTCCCGCTGAACACCATTTGGAGGCACAGACACACGTCAGTGTGAAAAAGAAGGGCCCTGGGTTCCAGTCATGACTCTGCCACATCTGCCAGCTGTGAAGCCTTGGACTGGAGTTATTCTTCCAGCAGCACCAAATCCTAAGTCTGGCCTTCCAGGTTCTGGATCTGGCTATCTCTCCTCTTGGTCACTCTGCACCGCATGCCTTTGCCATCATCCTACCTGTGAAGCATGCGTAACTCCCTCAGCACTCTGAAGCTCATGGTCAAACTCTGCATCCTCAAAACTACATTTCCCCTTGCCAAATCAGTAAGCCGCCTCAGCACCTGGCCCCTCTACCTGCCCATTCTGCCCCTGCTGCCAAGCCTCCTGTAGAATTAGGATCCCTTCCCGTGTAGGGAGAGCACGTAGTGGGTAGCTGGGGGGCTGGGGGTAGTGGAGGATGAGGGTTAGAGACATCTAGAAATGTGAAGACTTCAGTCCTCGTGAGTTACTTTCATGTGCTCTCTGGGCCTCAGTTTCCTCCACTCTTCCTCAGCTAACCACTAAAAACTAGGGGCCCAGGTTTAGTGTCTCTTCTGAGAATGGAATAACCTCCATTCTTCTTGATGGGTGTGAAGGCACCAAAAGGTTCAGGGGAGAATGAGCTATAGACTTTGAGTCCTGGGGAGCTGAGTGCCGGAGACAGTGCTGGCCTATGACCGGAAGTAGCAAAGACAGAAGGGGGTAGTTTGCACTTGGACAGAACTAGGGAGTAACAAGGACTGGTAGAAGGAACCCTTTGGCCAAGCTGGGCAGGGAGGATGTCTGGGTTCTAGGAGTCTCCATCTCAGCTTCATTTTGTCCAAGGTAGGACCAGCATTTTGTCGCCAACCAGATCAGATTTCACTCCACAAAGATTATTATCTACCTGTTCAATGCCAGATTCTGTGCCGGGATGCAGAATGGGTGCGTTGTTTCAGGTGACCTGAAGAAAGGTACTGGAAGGCCTCTTAGGCAGGTGGTGGGGGCTTGCAGAATGGACCCGGAGACTCGCTGCTGCAAATACTAGCTCTAGGGACTTGGAGCGTTTCCCAGAGCCTCAGTTTCCAACCTCATAAAATAAGCAGTAATTGCTCCCCACGGGGTGAAGGTGAGAATCTAACGAGTTAATATATTTAAAGCACTAAAATAATGCACAGAATAATAACCCTAGATCGCCCCTGAGAGCTCGTCCACAGCGGGTGTATGTAGTAGATGCTGGTCTGCCTATTGTTCAGCAGGACTTTCCCAAATGATAGACCTGAGTTTTGACCGATTTCAGAGCCATGAGCATAACCGCCGGGACAGGACATCAAGGCGCTAGTCTGAGCACGAGAGAGGAGTTTGGACGCTTTTCACAGTAGGTTCAGAGCGGCCTGGCTGTCTTGCAGGAGTCGGCTGTGGAGCTCCTCTTCGCGGCCTTCTTCACCACGGCCAGCGCCAGCACGTCGCTCATCCTGCTGCTTCTGCAGCACCCGGCAGCCATCGCCAAGATCCAGCAGGAGCTGTCAGCGCAGGGGCTGGGGCACGCGTGCAGCTGCGCACCCCTGGCCACAGGGCCCAGACTGGACTGCAGCTGTGAGCCCGACCTTAGCCTGGCGGCGCTGGGCCGTCTGCGCTACGTCAACTGCGTAGTCAAGGAGGTGCTTCGCCTCCTACCGCCAGTGTCTGGGGGCTACCGCACAGCGCTGCGAACCTTTGAGCTGGACGTAAGTGCGCCTCGCCGCGGACCTCTGGATGCTTGCAGCGGCGCTGGGGTGGGAGGAGGGCCCCGAGATTAACACAGAGATCTCTTTCCCTTGCCAGGGCCTCAGCTTTCCCTCCTGTAAAATGGACTGAGCCCTATTCTATTCCCCCACTCTCCTTCCTCCAACCCCAGTAGAGTGATGCAAAGCCTAGTGCCTGAAGAGCTGGCAAAGTTAGAAATTTTATATATAGTATATATGACTAGAAATACTTGTATAAAGTATATACGTATACTTTATATACTTCAGCTTTTGCCAGCCATCCAGCCAGGTCAACTCAATTAGAGCCGAGTTCCAGAATGCAAACATTTTTCTCTGAGCCGCACTCCTTGCAGCCAGTGCACCGTGGCTGGAAAGCCAAGGCGGGCCACTAGTTCTTTATTTGTCTCAAAACTTTAGGCCTTATACCTGGGAAATGCAACAGCCTTAATACAAAGAACAAAATCTTAATGGTTTCATCAGGCTGCCCTTGGCTGGACAAGGTTAAGAACCAGGCCTGGCTACATCTGAGAATAACTTGGACAGTTCTCCCTTTACTGTGGGTCTCAGTTTACCTTCTGGGAGGATGTTGGGTTTTTTTGTTTGTTTGTTTGTTTTGTTTTGTTTTTTCCCCAGCTCTGATAACTCCACACAGGCTGGGGGTGTTTGATGAACTGGCTGCTTTGGGGGCTGTGGGGAATTCACACTGCAGAACTTGAGGGTCTCTGCCTGAATGGGAGGCGCGTTGAAGGGGGGTCCATGCAGAGAGGGAGGGACCAAAGACCATGGAGTGTCTATGGATCCCTAGTGTAGGGTGATGCCAGTCAAGGGGCTGGAAGGAGGAGAGTGTGCCGCAGAGGGGGAGCTGCCAGCCAAAGGCTGGTACTCAGAAGTGCCTTGGGTGCTTAAACTTGATGTGCTGGTGTGCCCAGTAAACAGCGAGAGGAGCTGAGGATGGGCAGCTTCCAGGGCTGTAGGCGGAGCACAGGGAAGGTCCTACTCCTCCAGACCGGGAAACAGGACTAGAGAGAAAAGAGCACTCTAGGCTGATTCCAGTGTGCTCTTTCCCCCTAGTGAGAATCTGAACAGTAATGACCATCCCCGGGCTTAAGAAAATTGCAAGCTTTTGAGGGACGGGTGGCTTGGTAGTTCAGGGATTGGAAGACACAGGAAAAAGCCTAAGTGGGGCGGGGAATGTAGGTCAGTGGCAGGGGCTCTTTCCTAGTGTGAATGAGGCCCTGGGTTTGCAAAACCCTAGCAGGGGGGAAGGGAGGGCAGGATGGTTGGGAGGGTGGGAGTGGGCAGAGAGGGAGTGCATCTTCTAAAGTGTAACCACAAGGTCGTGTTATTGTGTAGAGGTGAGTGGGAAGGCAGGGAAGTCTTCAGTTAAATGCAAAGAATTTTATAATTGAACTGTCCCAGAGGAGCGGCAATTCCCTGCTTCAGCTCAGGCAGCTGGTAGCTACAGTCTTACAACCTTAAGTCTCCGGTGTCAGAAGAAGACAGGAAGAGAAAGACAACAAACTCATAATATTCAATTTCATGGGCACTAATGTGTGCCAATATCCTTTTGAAATTCTTCCAACAACGTGGATATTTTTTATTTCTACTTTCTCAACTAAGAAATTGGGGGCGGGGGCGCAAGCAGTCTAAGATCTTACAGCTCACTAGTGAAGACATTGAAACTGCAAAGCAGATCTTTTATCTTCGGGGTTTGTTAATCACAGGCCCCTGGAGGTATGTTTGGCGTGTCTGGGTGGGGATGGGTGGGTGGGGAGATTGGCTCTGGCTACTTCCCAGTGTTTAGCGATCAAGACGGGCCCCCTCCCTTCTCAGGGCTACCAGATCCCCAAAGGCTGGAGCGTGATGTATAGCATCCGGGACACGCACGAGACAGCTGCTGTGTACCGTAGCCCTCCCGAGGGCTTCGATCCCGAGCGCTTTGGCGTGGAGAGTGAGGAGGACGCGCGGGGCTCCTGCGGTCGCTTCCATTACATCCCGTTCGGCGGCGGCGCGCGCAGCTGCCTGGGCCAGGAGCTAGCGCAGGCGGTGCTGCAGCTGCTCGCCGTGGAACTGGTGCGCACCGCGCGCTGGGAGCTGGCCACACCTGCCTTCCCGGTCATGCAGACGGTGCCCATCGTGCATCCAGTGGACGGGCTGCGACTCTTTTTTCACCCTCTCGTGACTTTGGGTGCGGGGGATGGGTTACACCTCTGACTCACCGCTCTTCTATCCTTGACTCGCCCCGTGGCTGCCGCGCACACCCAGCGCTGCCCATCTTCAGCGCCCTAGGTCCGCATCGCGCGCACATTCACGGAGTCGTGGGTTTAACAAATGCTCACGGGACGATTCTGTGCTAGACTGGAAGGAGTAGTAGACTGAGCCACAGCCCCTGCATTGGAGAAGTTCTGGGCTTGGGGGAAGGAGCGCGCCTTTGAAGGCATTTCCCAAGATCTCAAGGAGCCAGAGGTGGAGAGAACCTTTCTCCACTAGATGAAACCTGGCTTCACCCTCCTATGGCAAGTCCGCCAAGGAATTTGGATGTGTGGCCCTGGCGGTGGTGGTTGGGTGTACATATCAAACCGGAGGAGAATTTGCAACTTTTTTTTAAGTTAGCGGAGATACCAGGATGAGTCCCTGATATTGGCAAAAGGCGCACCCTCAGGCTTCTTGAGCCTTGGCAGAAATCCTGGCTCAACATCAGCAGATTCTGCTATAGATTTTTGAAAAGAAAAATTCCTACTTAAAGAGTTTATTTAATATCCTCATTTATACCGAAGAGAATATGTTCTCTGGAGATGTCTCTAAGTCTGGTTCATGTTAGATTGAGACAGAATCCTTTCGTGGGAGATTGAGATAACCAAGAGATTTGAGATAATTGTACCGAAACAGGAAGGCCAGGAGGTAACATTTTCTGCCAGTGGTTGAGTCAGGAGCCTGGGGTGGAGAGGGGTGGAGTACAGAGACATACCAGAAGGACCCACGGTAGCCTGTACCCAGGGGGTCTAAAAGCTTGGCAGCCTCGGCCCCATGCTTCCCTCTGGACCACGGATCTGGATTCTGGGTTTTGGATGATCTCTGCATCCTCGGCTTGCAGAGTTGTTCTGTTTGCCGCCTCACCCTCCTTGCTGTCACCGAGGAGAAAGAGGATCAGAGGGACCGGTGACCCTCCTGAGGAGCCACTGCTGTCCTGCATCCCCTCTCATCACTCAACCCTCCCACCCACCTCTGGGCCCGTGCCACCTGTGGAACTCAGTCCTTTCCCTTTTCCCAACCATCCCTAGCCTGTCTTAAGAACTGCCTGGCCTTTCCAACCCAGAGATTCCCACCACCGTTTAAATCAAAGCCATTATCATCCTGCCTCCCTTCCCAAAAGCCCACTTCAACCTGCCACCCCCCCCCCACACACACACACATTCCCACACTCCTGGGCAAGAGGACTTAACTGGTGAGCCAGGGAAGCTGTAACCTGTAACCCTGTTGTGAATCAGGAGGAAATTGGTGGTCTCCTGACCTTATGCTTAAAGTGGATCCTGGCGCCTGAAGTCAAGGGGGGCATAAGGTGATACTTGAAGGTGAGCAGCTGTTGGGGTTCACTCCACCATAACCTCTACACGGGTAGTTAATCACCCATAACTGGTCAGAGTAAAGGCCTGGTCCTGAGCTCTGCAGGCACCAGGGGGAGCAAAGGTATTATGGTGCAGACCTACCACCTTGGGCATCTGGGAAGCCTGGATCCGGATGAGGAGGCCAAAAGACCCTGTCTGCTTCAAGGTTGATTCTGATTGGGGGAGAAAACAAATGGGGAGGTGCCTTTTAGAAGCCGGGACAAACTGGTTCAAAGAGACTTGTTTACTTGCTTTGGGGTCTGGACCAACTATAAACACGCAGGAGTGGCTCCAATTTTCCCCTCGTTTCCCATCATTGCATCATATTATTGAGGAACACATAGGCTCCGGGTTTAGCAACTGTGAGTTCTTAGGGAAAGAGCAGATGTAGTTCTTGCCGCAGATGTAGTTCTTGTCTGATGTTCACAGAAAGAGGCAGACAATGAACAAACAAGGAAAACAAATTGAAACGAAACAAAACCCCGAGAATGCCCAGTGGTGAAAAGCACAGAGAAGCTATCAACCACAACAACAACCACCACAACAACCACAACCCAAACCACAAACAAAACAGGCTTTTAACACGGAGTTAATCTAAATTTCCACACTTGGGCAAGGGAACCCGTCTGAGGTGACATTGGCAGGGGTCAGTCTCCAGCCGGCATTGGGAAGAGCAGCAGGTATGGATCCCTAAAGGGGGTTGAAGGGAAAGCTCAGGAGCTGGTGCTGGTCACCCCGATTCCTGCCACCCCTTTCCTCTAGCAAAAACAGAACAGCAGAGACAGCTGCGCTCGCAAACCTGACCCCACAGCCCTGAGCCCTTAGCAATAGGAAAACTGTTTGGCAAACATTTTGTTTCTCAGCTAGCCAACCTCCCCTTCCCCACCCACCACCACCCAATAAAGTTCCGTGAAGTTCCTAGATCAAAGTTCTTATTGGGCTGGTAATTTATTGACCCCCTCCTCCCCCGACAAGAAGTTTTTAAATGATCTGGCATTTTTAACATTTAGTGTTTTCCCCGCCAGGCGCCCTGCGGATCTTGACGACCAGTTAGATTTTTTTTTCCAGTTAGATTTTTTTAAAATTATTTTTTTAAGTATTCTTTTTTCCCCCTGTGGCCATTTCCAGCGCGCTAGCGGGGCTCATCTTGTGACCCAGCGTGCGCTGAACTTGGTGGGGTGGCCAGTCAGAGTTCACTGGGATGTCACGGTCCGGCCTGCAGGGGTCACAGGCGGGTCAGGCTAAAGGATTGGGAATGTGCCCCAGGTCACGCCCCCGCTGGCCGATTTTGCACACCGACCGGAGGCGCTCTCCAAAAAGGGGCGGGCCGAGATTTCTGAGAATTACCTCCAGCACAGTCCGTCCGCGTTCCTGCCGGTGCAGAAGCTGGTACGCAGTCCTTACAATAACCAAATCTTTACAAGATATGACAGCGGCAGTGCCCGCCTCCCGAGAGCCTCTGAAACACTGAACAGAGCTATGGGGGAACCTCTGAATCCCCGAAATATGACCCATGGGCATCCCGGCTTAGAGAGACGCTAGGTTTGTGCCGGTCCTCACAACCTTTTCGGGTATGGGTGTCGCTTGGAGACCACCGCTGGGAGGCCACATATTTAACAGCTTTAGTTTTTTTTTTCATCTTCAATGGACTCTTCCCAAGGGGTGCGTGTGTGCTCTTGCTAGAGCCAGTGTTCAGTTCTAAACAAACACACGTCATTCTGTTTGTTTTCCGCGTCGCTGGTGAGTTCAGTGCCCAAACCTAGGCAGTGAGTGTGTGGCACTGGCTGAAGCGATGTGGCGGGAGGTCATGGGAAGCCCAGAGCGTGTGTGCGCATCACACAGTTCCCTTGAGCTCGGTATTGGCTGCAGGAGCTGCTGATGGAAGTTCGACACAATCCCTGGGACTCGTCCCCCAGTGCGGAGTCCCTGAACGTTCCCAAATGGCTGGTGGCAGAAGCATAGCACCAAACAGCCCTCTTACCAGGGTTTGTGCCTTTGCATTGGGAGGGATCTGGGAGACTGGAGAAGAGTTCCAGAGCCTTGAAACCCGACCATTCTATTAATGCAGCCTAATGAGCCATTTGGAAGCAGAAGCCCCCTTTGGGAACTCACAGATGCCTTGAGGTGTAGACACAGTGGAAACAGTGGAAATAGCCTTCTTCCTAATGAATGGACACAGACAGGAGGAAGCTTGATAGCTCGCCCAAGATTCAGGCACTCCGAGGTGGAACAGGACTCCTGGGTTTCCTCCTTCTGCCTCCCACCTTATATCTGCCTGAGCTGGGGGCCCTCTTCCCGGCTGCCTGGCTGGGAGGGGGGGAAATTGCAAGCCCCAGTGCCATAGGAATTGGGCCAGCTTGGCGGTATTACTACAGCTGGGCGTTGACTTTGGAGCCACTGGTCTCTTTAGCACACCACTGGGCTTTATTCAGAGCAGGGGAATCCGGCTTGTGCAAGGCTATACCTGGGGTCCCAGAGACCTGAAGGCTTACTTGCTTTGAATCCTAAAGCAGCACTTCCAAGACTTCATGCGCTGGCTTACTTGTGGTAAACTGCAGAGAGCTAGAATTCACGATCTGCCAGTCATACTTGACCTCCAAGACTCTGGCTTGAACCCTAGCCCTGGGATCTTCTTGGGATCCCCACAGATCAGGAAGTGTTTGGGATCTCATTTACCCAACCTGTGGGTCAAGTCCACTGAATGGTCAGTCCTGAACGCGCTTTCCAAGTCCGTGCGGCGCCTGTGAATGAAAGCCTGTGAATGAAAGTCGGGCTGGGACAGCCGGTACGATCCGGCGCGAGGGACAACCGAAAGACAGCTGGGAAGCCCAGGACTCCAAATTCCCGCTTCTTGGAACCCCGATCCACAACTCGCTCCCCTGCCCCCAACCGCTCCCTGCTGAGTCGGAGCTCGGAAAATCCGGGATAGGGGAGGCGGTGTTCCTAGCCCCGCACCCCAGGAGGCGCGCTCCGAGGGAAGCCGCCAGTGCGCCGCCTCTGCCTGGGCGCGGAACAAACGGTTAAAGATTTTGGGCAGCGCCTCGCGGGAGGAGGAGCTAGGGGCCAGATCCGCAATTAAAGATGAACTTTGGGTGAACTAATTTGTCTGACCAAGGTAACGTGGGCAGTAACCTGGGCGGCCTATAAAGAGGGCGCGCGGCAGGGTTCGGAGCGAGGGCGGCGGCGGCAGGTGGCGCGGAGACTGCTGCATGTCATGGGGCTCCCGGCGCTGCTGGCCAGTGCTCTCTGCACCTTCGTGCTGCCGCTGCTGCTCTTTCTGGCAGCCACCAAGCTCTGGTACCTGTACTGTGTGAGCAGCCGCGACCGCAGCTGCGCCCTCCCTTTGCCCCCCGGGACCATGGGCTTCCCATTCTTTGGGGAAACATTGCAGATGGTGCTGCAGGTAAGGGACTTCCCGGGAGTCCGCCTCAGCTCTGGGCCTGGGCTGAAGCCGGGATAAGTGTCCTCGCGAGGGAGGCGTCTGCGGCTAGAAGAGGGGTTTAGACGGAGGCCAGATGCTCCCCGGCGCCCCCTCACGCGGGTTACGGGTCTCTCTCCTCCACCTCCCTCGCAGCGGAGGAAGTTTCTGCAGATGAAGCGCAGGAAATACGGCTTCATCTACAAGACGCATCTGTTTGGACGGCCCACGGTGCGGGTGATGGGCGCAGATAACGTGCGGCGCATCTTGCTGGGAGAGCACCGGT